TTATTTACTTACAGATCTTGGGGAATTGCCTTGTATCAAATAACTAAAATATATATTCAGCTGACATCAATTTTCAAGTTAAAATCCCCAAGTTTCACCTTCTTCTGTGTGAGGATTCGCTACATTTGTTTCACATCATTGTAAACAGAATGGTTTTTAGATATTGGGTTGTTGGTTAGGTAAAGTAACTAAGGACAAAGCTCTGGGCTCTGGTAGCTTGTGATGGGCATCTCTCATTATTTTTGACATTTAATACACTAAGAGCTAGCCAACACCTTGAGTACATCCTATGGACCACAGCAGCATGTCAGCAATGTTCACAAAAATGTCCACATTAGTCAGTACTGGTATATCTAGGCTTGCTACTCTCTCCGATTCTATAGTTAAAAACCTAAATGGCAGGCATGTTGGAGGTCAACAACCAAAGGGTAAAGAACAACAGGGTCGTCTTTGGGAGGAAACATTGCCTTATTAAATATTCATGCTCTCAAACACCAGATCAATCAGGCCCGCTTACTGCATGCCACTGACATTACTGAGGAAATTTCTTCATTTGGTGGTACGATCAATAGCTCATTACAGCAGCTTTACACTGGGTTGTTTCTGGGCAGACCTGCTGGCTTAATTCCCTCTACATCACAGGCCTATCTAAACTGTCCATCTTCATCACGCAACACAGAGAAACAGCCTTCTGCTGAACAACACTAAACCTTACACCAACTTACTTTTCTACAAGTTGAGTTTTTTAAAGAGCGATATTGGTAATTGGAGATATGAGGGAAATCAACACTGCAGCAGGGATGTGGATGTATACATATGTATGTGTGCAGTGCAGAAAAAGATCAATACCATGCTTTATACATGATATAACTTTGCATTTGGAGTAGTTTAAATGCAGCTTGTCAAGGAAAAGAACTCCTATAGATCAATTTCACACCCACCAAGAGGGATAAGGAAAGTCAAGCATTCACACGCAGCATTAGTAGTTGTAGTATTGTACATCTCAGAAAACAAACAGCAACGGAAGGTAAAAACATATGCCAACAACAGTAGGCAACGCAATATTCCCAATGACAATCAGCATGAAAAGACACTTTTTTCTTGGTTTCATGACATCACTTCTTCACAAGGCTATTTCGGAGTGTATCTGTGCGCTCAAATCTGCACCATTATGCTCAAAAAGCCGTTCGGTTTGTAATTCACACATGAAATGACAGCAGACCTCATCATAATAACATTAAAGCTCTCCCCCTTAGTGTCAAGTGGAATGCGACGATGTGCTGAACTGAATTCCCATCAGTGGCAATAATTTCACGGTAATCTCTAATAATTATACACAGGGCAAGTGACGGAGTAACGGGAGGAGCCAAAAACCAGGCAAGTTAGGCATACTTGTGGAGCTAAAATCACAGATGCAAAAATTAGCTTAGATATAGGATAAAAAAGAAGCAAGAACCTGGGAATTTCGTTCTCCACAGTCTCTGCTAAAGTGAACTAAAGATGCTTCCATACAATTTCATGGGAAGAATGATGTATTGATCAGATCAAGGGCACCTTTGGATGCCTCTGGGGCAGCATGGAGCAGCATCCACCCTCACATGCTCTCTCACATCACCATTTCAAACTGGAACATCCTCCAGAAAGCATACTGCACAGCATACAGATGCTAGCATCTGTTAATAACACATGAACCAACAACGGATCACAAAGGGGGAGAGAATTGCCGAAAGGAGACGAGAGATAAAAGAGGGAGATAAAAGTGAAAAGCAGGAAAAAGAAAAAAAAAAAAAAAGGGAATGAAGAGCAGAGCGATGAGCGAAAAGGAGCAACAGCAACAAAGGATCGACCCAGCAGGGTGTTCACAGAGACATGAGTGGGTGAGGAGGAGGCAGCAAGATCTGGCACTGATGTCATGGGTACATAGTGTAGTCAGAACCAACACTGTACTGCCTTATTTTTCCTATGTGGTTATTGTTTCTGTCTGCCGGTTTGGCTCGTTGCATTACTTCTGTGTTGCCGCATTAACAGCCATCGCCTGGATGCAAAGTGAGACCGGTGCCTTCGCATAAACAAAGCCAGCGCTGTCACAGTGCATTAGTCAAAGCCCCAGTCTGGCCTTTTCAAAGTCTCTACTCCCACTCGAACTGCTAATAGATCGCCAGGATTTGATATTCACCTAGCAGGGATCCTCGCAACAGAGAAGCTGTGCGCGTGTGCTTCTGCGTGGATGCTCACTCCGCATGCTGAACCATGTTTTTACTAACAAGTGGGCCTCTGTCAGGAGAGTTATGTGAATTAAAACAAACAAAATCAGAGTGAAACAAGAAGAAAAAGTTTGTTACAAATCTTCTTGCGTAGTCTCTCTCTGCTCTAATGACACAACGCACAGTAGGCAAGCAATTCATTTAGAAAACTACTCTTACATAATGAGCCGCCTGAGCTATGTAACCATAAGCTAATATTTTATTCACTATACTGCTTATAATGAAGCCCGTGCTGCTAGAGCTGGTGCATCTGAGGACACATCCAATTTCCAAACAGGACGAGTACAGTTCCTTTAGAATATTCAGGCTCTTATTAAACTCTTCGGCAGCTTCTTGCCCCCTCTGACATGAAACAGCAGTTTGGGGGAAGCTTTTTCTCTGAGTCTCCTGGCTCACAATCAGCACCGTTCTTCTTCCTGTAACATCAAATTACCCGTGGCTGAGATATCCTCGCTCTTAGCCCCTCTTCCCTTCCTTTCCTCCCACTGAGTCGGGTTTATAGGCAGCGGTCCGGCTGGGGTAATTTCTGCTACCACTCCAGGGAAATTACTTTGCGTTGTTAGAGAAAAGGCAGTTTGTTACTTTATCAAGCTCCTTGACTCCAATAACAAGCAACATTTGGATGCCAGCTAAAAATATAGCCTCTACGTATCCTTACAGACAGCCTACAGTAGTGCAACCGATGTAACAGCAAGTTCAGGCCAAGTGTGTTTGTCTATGCATGTAGCCATGTACTAAATAAATATATGCATATGTGCATGTACATGTGCACATGTGTGTATGTCAGTTCTGTTCCCCTGCACTGAGCATTTCAGCTGTGCCTTGCTTGGACTGATGAATAATTTCTGCACTGTGCTCTGCTGTGGCACGTCTGGTGCAGCCCGACTGCACCACACAGCTACAGCTCCGCATTTGCATTCAACACACACACACCCATTTTTACACTCATGAACACCAAGCCCGCTCACTGCTTCCCAATCCCAACACCATACAGCCTGTCAGCTGCTTCCTTGTGTGGAGGGATGCAACAAGCTGCTAAGCCCTTTTTTTTTAAAGGAACAGCAGTTTCCTATTAGTCAATGTCACCTCACTTCTTCTCCCAGGGTTACTTCTGGGGAAAAGATGTTGGCTGTGAATCCAACGAATGGAACCGGAACAGTCGAGCTTGTTTCTAAAGAAACCTGATTGTGGATTGGTGGCATTTAAGTTCAAGCTCAGAAAAGAGGAGGAACGCTGCTGAAATGTCAGCTCTTTTTTGGAGTGGCAGGCATGCTGATGTGCTGACCTCTATGTGCTGTGGTTAAAAGGTTGGTGGGGCTGCAGGACAAATAAGGAGGAGGTATCAGCTTTTTCTGAGTGAAAGGAAGGGACATTTTAAAGATCACTGGGGATAGGTAAGCCTTTCAGTGCAAAAAAAAAAACACGTCAAAATTCCATCGCTTGCTGTATGTTGTTTATGCCTCTCTGATATCTAAAGGTAGTGCTATGAAGCTGCTGCTGTCTATGTTGACATTGTGACACTGTTATTTGTCGGGTGATTATGAAGAGACATCGCGCCTTTAATGAGAAATCTCAACAAAAAATAACCGGGTTACTGTCATTTACAGAAAAACAAGAACATCCCTGCTCCGTTTACCTCAAAGTACAGCAGGTTGCGCCTCCGACAGCAGCTTAATAAAGGCAAACCACAAGCAGCAGTGCCAGTCATATGTGCAACCAAACACCTCCTACTGTCTCTGGGTCTATCTGGAAGACCTCCAGCACTCTGCTCCTTCATCTATCCTAGACGAGCGTGTATTTTCAGACACGCTACGCCTCTTAATGCATTTCACCATAGATGAGCAGATCATGTCATCATCTATCTTTGTCAACAGTGGAAAGTGTGACTCTCTGTGCAACCGCTGCCAGACATTTCCAATCTAAAAGACACTCATTTTCAGCTTGAGAAAATACATTCTTACTAAGTGACACATATTTTCACTGTGGTGTAGTGGAGTCCAAGACACAAGGGGAGCAAGCAGTCTACAGCCTGTTAAATCCTAAATGATAGCCTCTTTTATGAGCACACAAACCAGTCTACGTTGATTTATGTCCGACAGGTAAGACAGCATTAGTAATCTGTGAAGCAATACTGCATCTATTACAAAACGCTGTGCTCGGATCATTTGCACAGACCTTTGCTGCTGCACAGGAACCCTGGGGTGACTGTCTGGACAGTGAGGCAGCCTACACTGCCAGGCTACCACGTTTGAATATATTATACAGCATGCACACTGGCTCACAACTCCATTTTTTTCTCAAACACATTCAAGTGATGCCGCGAGATGCCTTTTAATTATGTGAGTAACTGAAGTTAAATCGCAGTGAGTTTGCGCTGCCAAACCGCAGGCGACTGTGGCTACAACGGTGCAGCGAGGTGCATAACGCAAGTTTGACATGGCATGGGAAATAGTGCTGTCAACTTCTTGAGACGAGAGACTGCAGGGAAGACAATAGCTGTCAGTGAGCGATGCGCAACACAATGGAGCACTATCGCCGCCTCTGAGATCTGCAAGCAGGCACAGGGTTGTCAAAGGCTGGAACACAACATCTGTGAGGCGACACAAGTGATACCCCCGATCTACAGTCGCATTCACACACAAAAGTACCATGAAAAAGAGAGCCACGCATACCCCCCCCCTCACACACACACACCGGAGCAGCGCTTCACGTACGAGCGGCAGGAAATGTACTTACAGTCCTGAGGAACTGAATTTCATCCTCTCCTTCTCCACCTTCAGCCATGGCTGCAAAGGAGCCTGTTCGGACTCGGGAAGCCTCCGCTGGCTCCTCTCTCCTATCGATATTAGCATATAGCTAATCCACGTCCATACAGCGGGGGGGTGGAGGGGGGGGGCTACCGCAGCATGTGTCACTCAAGCCCCTGTGCTCAAGCCCCGCTCACCGCCCGGAGGAGGAGTGTGTGTCAGCAGCGGCATCGGTGGGCTGGAGCGACTGGGGACGGTGTGGCGGGGAAGCGAGGAGAAGCCAAGTCGTGTAGCCGAGAGACGGCGGCGGGGTCTTTATCTTCGACGTCACCGGCAGACCTTATTAATACAGCCGCGAAAGCGCGAATATTCAAACGCGAGGGGTGATACATGCGCCGAAATATCCGCTATCCAACGGGTGTCTCGTTGCTATTTGCTTTCCCGCCCTTCTCTCGCAGCCGCCGACAGACGGAAAACGTGCTAATGTGCGATAAGCAGCGTGATAGGTAGTGTATGCTGGTCCAGATCAGCACCATGGCCAGCACCCCGCAGCAGCCTCCTTATGGGACCTGCAGCTGAGACACACCGCAGACTGCTGCATAGCACAGCGTGTTTCACAGGTTGTTCAATGCGTTTAGTTTGTTTTTGATGAGCGAGGGGCATAGCTTAGCATCAGTGTCCGTGTATTGCTATACACAGAGTGCGTTATTTGCACTGTTGAACTGGATGCTCCAATATCAACACAAATCTGCGATATTTTAGTGGAAAAAAAATATTGTTTTTATCCTAAAGCATAATCTGCACGCTGTGTTTCTGCACACAGTGTGTGCTATTAAAAACTAATTACATTATGTGAGAAAATCTTTCATAAATCCATACTGCAAAAGTGACATTTAGTTGTACATCTTTTAAACTATTTACAGCATTTGATTGGATGAATAGCTAGCCGTTAAATGATTCACATTAAATGCGATTACACTCACTAAAAGAATCATGAAAGAAATGTTTAAAACGTATTTCACTTTGTAGCACTGTAGACTGAATACAGTGACAGCAGTGATCAGTCAGGTCAACTCTCAGTTGCCCCTCAGTCCAGCCATAATGAGGCCTACTCATCTCTACAACTAAATTAAACACATTATGCTCCCTTATCCTGATGCGATGCCGCCCTCTAGTGTCAATGTGGGGACCTAACACCTGCCCATCTGGTAGTGCACGTTTCCTTCCTTCATTTAGCCTTTTTTAGCACTTCATCCCCCACTTCTCCTCACTACCACTACCCACTTCTTTCCAGTTACATTCTTTGTTCTTCCTTCGTGGATGATTCCCCCCCCCTTCTTTTCTTTAATGCCCAATTAACAGCCTGTTGAAACAAGCAGGTAACATTTACAGTTCAGTGTCCCTCTCCCTATTTAGTTGTCACTGCTATTTGGATTTTATTAGTAATAGAAGTTATACTTAAAGCACTATAGGCCTTATTCAAGATGTGAGCCATCTGAGGTTAAAGGAATCGACCCCATAAGTTCACAAACTCAACCAGGATAGTCAGATGTGTGCCATCATTTTCTGAACTTTATAGCATGGTCTGTCACTGAAATCTCTTACAGTGTATCTATGCATCTTCATGTATACATGTCTATATATTTTACTGTTTCCCCTTTTTTCTTAAGCATTGTTTGTCTGTAATCTGAGTTACTGACTGCCACATTATGTAAATTAAGACAAATTCAATCAAAAATCAAAAATAAAATGTGAGATAGACTTCTCCCTGAAATAAACCCTGACTGAAGAGTGAACCTACCTGGCGGAGGTAAATACATAACGTTTAACAATCTGTAGTTGAACAGTGATGCACATGTTTACAACCACTAGGTGTCTCTGTTCCGTAACAAATGGCGCCACCTCGGCCTTCAGAGCGCAGGTACTTACACATACACTTATATCTCTGCCTGACACAGCTTAATGCTAATGTTAGCCAGGGAAAACACTGCAAACTGCTACGACAGAGAAATGAAATCAATGTCAGCCACACTGGTCTCCCACCGTACTGGCTGCCCGCTCTGAAACCCATCACATGGCCTACCTGCAAGCTGCAGCTCAACTGTCTCAGAACGTGGGATGTGGATAAATGCTAAACAACCAATAAGAGAGCAGCGAGCCCGCGCTGAGTTCGCCTATTGGACCAAACTCCCGTCAATCACGGCGGAAGAGCTCAGTGAAGGCAGCGGTGCGCTTTGGCTGGCTGCAGCACAGAGATGTGAAGAATTATTTGCCATGCCACTAAATCGGGTAAGTAACTGTTTATCTTTACCGAACTGCTGCTGTCACATTACCTGCTGCAGGTGCAACTGACTGTAACGTACTTTCAGCTTCTCATTTAAAACATGGCACCAAACTGAAGCTGATATGGGGCTAATGCGGAGTTTCATGCGTTAAAATTGAATTTGTAATAAATTCAGGTGACTGTTTCGCGATTGGAGTTGCATTTGGCAGCAGCGAGCCGCGGGATAGTGTGATCATGTTCCCATCTTAACACTGACAAGTGCACTCGGGCTTGTTGCAAGGTGACAGTAACCCACGGGATTATGTTATGATGTAAACAGTTCAGAGAGGTTGCGAAATGTGCAGGGTATCCATTGGTGCACATGTCAAATTATGCTTGTTTTGCTTGTAAACATCTCAAAAGGCCGCCATAGCGTTGGCTCCTGCGTGTGTCGTCACCTTGTGTGACACTCAGCTTTTATGCGGCAGCTTGTGAAATGTTGGTGAAATGCGGCTTAGAAATGTTTCATCTACTCGCACAACAAGGCCGGAGAGGAGGATGGAGATAAGATAGGGTTAGGAAGGTAAGTGTATGATAGAACCACTGTCTAGTTTAATCTGTGCAGTGCTGGATTGTATTTAGTTTTTAATTAACAAAAGGAGTTTGACAGTGAAATATGGAGGGCCCATTGCTTGGAAAAGGAGCAGTTTGTATTGTTATGCTTCAAAACTAGTTCTGCATTGTCATCCAGTTAGTCTAAAGTGCTCTAGCTGTTAGAAAGTGTCTGTCCTATATTAAAAATGTAAATATCTAAAGCTTGAACTCCTACAAGAATAACCAGTGTGACATTAGGAGTGCATGAAAGTCATTAGTAGGACTAATGTGTTGTTGCATATATCTTCAGATTTTTAGCTATGTGCTACTTTCTCTCTGACAGTATCTGGACAGGCCAGGTGATGAATAGCCAGAGATCCTACTGTGCAGTCCGAGCCCAATCCCTCTGTCTGGGGACTGACCACTCACTCAGAGCGCTTGAGTGATTAACATGGCACCCATCATGGAGGGCACACACACTGTGTTGCTCCTGTATGCACCCATCCGTGAGTTAAGCAACATCAGCCTGTATTTCCCCAAGAGGCGGGCCCCGAGCTTCAAGTACAAGAGCCGCGCCCCTCATTCAGAAAGGGCCGGTAATGACCGTGACTGGGGAAAGGAGGATCTCGGAGTGTCCGAACAAAGAGTCCAGTCTTCAGACTCCTCGGGCGAACTCCTCAACTCCCAGCAGGCAACAAAGGAAGCAGTTGCAGAGCTCTGCTGGTTGGCGGCGGAGCACCACCAGTTGCTGGCGGATCTCTTATCGCTGTGTAGGGTTTGTGCCAACAAAGTCAGGATGGGTAACCAGGATGGGAAACTGCAGGATTACATGGAGGGTCAGGAAGTTCACCTTGGAGGTCAGGTTCTCAGCAGCAGCAGCAGCAGCAGCTATTCTCTCCCCATTCCTCCAGAGCATAAGAAAGCTGCATCCAAGAGCAAAAAAATGAAGAAGTTGGGTGGCAAGAAGCTTGACAGTGCTGAGGATTTCCTGCACAGTAAGATGAAGAAGAGAGTAACTTCGTCTGTTGAACCTGCTCACAACAGTGTGTCCATATCTTCAGCCTCAGTAGTGGAGCAGATCCCAGGTATCCTACCGTCTGTCCATGTCTCTGACAGCCCAGTCACCGGCTCTTACGTCAGTGCAGTCAGCGATCCTATCCTGCCCATGGAGGAACCCTTCCAGATTACACGAGAGGGTTGGGACTTCATGGAGGACAACCGGACTTTTGACCCTGACATGGATTTCTGCAGTGACTTCTCAGAGTATGACGGTGAGCTGGGTTATGAGTCATCATTTTGCAGCTTGATGGAGGGTCTCACTCGACGGGAAAGTGGCAGCAACCTTCGCCCAATTAAGAGGTTTAATTCCTTGGGAGAGACATTGTCCGAGGATGCGTCGACAGTCAAGTCGGCTCAGCAGCTGTATGGTGAAATAAACCAGAGTAATACAGGGGTCAGGGTGGTGGCCAAAGTGCAGGATGTGGAGGGGAGAGTGCAACATGTCAGCCATACAAGCACAGACGGGGCAGGGCCAGCCGTGTTGCATCCGGAGACTAGCAGCTGCCAGCAGGAGTATGGAAAGTGGAAAGGACCAAACAGAGACCACCTGCTGGGAGTCAATAGAGAAAAGACGGCTAGCAAGCTTTCTGAAGGGTTACGGTTGCCCCTGTGCCACACCACAGAACCGTACCCCCAAACCAAATCCCACACAAAGAGCCCTTCTTCACCTTCACTCGCTGGGGTCTTCAACACATCTTTCCCTGCCTCCAACAGTCTCCAGAGTATGTCCCCGGTCCTCTCCCCTCTGTCCTCCAAGCAGGCAAGCCCACAGCTCAACCACCGCATTGTACTCCTCTCAGATAATGATGTGGAGCACGAACAAGACAGCTCCAGTAAAACAGACGAGCCCAAAATCTTCACCGAGGTCATCGACAAGAACGGCAACAAGCGGACTGTCACCCGTCTGGATCTGAACCTCAGCAGGCGGCCAAGCAACTCCAAGTGGAACTCCTCCAGCAACTCCACAACAACAGGTGAGTTATTAGGAACCACGCTACACCCTCTTTGAACACACTGATTCATGTTCAAACTCTCCGCCTTGATGTAATGTGCTTTTATCATCTCAGTAGTATGACACGATTGTCAGGATATGCCCTTCATCCGGCATTGCTGTTGCTGAAATTTCAAAGAACAGAACAAGAAAAAGGTGCTTTGAGAGAGATCAGGAGTGTGAGTGTGTGTGCTTGTTTCTGTGTGTGTGTGTGTCAGACCTACTGCTTGAGGTTGTTGTTGAAATGCTCCAGCAATTTACTCTGCAGCATAACTGACAGACATTTTCCGCAAAGGGAGTTATACTTTGTCACTCCGGCTGTTATCTAATAAACTAGCTAGACCAATAAATAAGCGGTGTTTTCCAAAAATGTCAGTGTTAATCAGGTTAGATCTTGACTGCTGGGTTCTCGTCTTGGCTTGGACGTGTGACCACAAATTAAAAACTACCCAA